GAGAGAGAGAGAGAGAGAGAGAGAGAGAGAGAGAGAGAGAGAGAGAGAGAGAGAGAGAGAGAGTCTGCCAGGCAGACAGACAGACGAACAGACAGATGTTTGGTGTCATGCATGTAAGGTCTGTGTTGGTGTGTGGTAAAACAGCGGGAGTCCTTTCGTCCGAAACGCCCTTCCTGCCATTTTACTCCCAACCTCTGGAAAAAATGTCCTTCGACCCACATTGACCCACATTTGTCGTTACAAAGGATTGAATCGGTGTATGTATTCAAAGACCACCACAGTCCTCGAAGTAACTTCTTGCTACTGTCATCCATGGCCCAAGACCATAGCTTTCTCTTGTGTCTTTCTCAGGGAGTTCTGGGTATCTGCCACTACAGACAACCTCCATACTAGTCCATAGTGTCTCTTATCCCTCCCTCTCCCCTTTTTCTCCGGACATTCATCTTAGGGAAGCACTCCGTACTTCCTTGGAGCTTGCTGCCTTTGTGCAGGAAACACAGAGCCTTGACGCACTTTTCACAAAACATGAGAAATGGCAAGTGCATCCTTGCATAGAAGGTGGCAAGGTACATTTGCCAGTATGAATGATGACCGATCTATCTTGATACATTCTTCTCTGTCAAGGTGCACCCATCAGCGGCCACCGCTTGTCACATCCGTCGAGTAATTCGTATGGCAAACACATATAGGCTCGGTATTCCTGTGGATGCCTACAGTAGACAATTCGGAACTGCCCACGCTTGTTTCCATCCTTTTGCTAATGTCTGTAACAAATAGTTAATAGGCACAATGGAGTGGAGTTAATTCCCTCAATAGACACGGTGGAGTGGTGTTATTCCACTCAATAGACAGTAGAGTGGTGTTATTCCACTCAATAGACAGTAGAGTGGTGTTATTCCACTCAATAGAGACAATGGAGTGGTGTTATTCCACTCAATAGACACAATGGAGTGGTGTTATTCCACTCGATAGATGTAGTGGAGGGTTGGAGTGGTGCTCTTCTTGCTGTGCTTGTCAGGAGTGCGACTCAGAGAGCATACTCGTTTCGGAACTGTCCACACTTGTTTTCATCTTTTTCTGATGTATGTGACAAATAGTCAGTAGGCACAATGGAGTGGTGTTATTCCGGTAAATAGACACGGGGTGGTGTTATTCCAGTCAATAGACACAATGGAGTGGTGTTATTCCACTCAGTAGACACAGTGGAGTGGTGTTAGTCCACTCAATAGACATAGTGGAGTGGTGTTATTCCACTCAATAGATAGTGGAGGGGTGTCATGATTATCATGAGTAGAGAGAAGTCAATATGGACAGTCGAGTGGTGCTCTTGTGGTCAATAGAGACAGCTGACTGGTGTTGTGATTGTCAGGAGAGAGTGACTGTGAGGGCATACTCACACGGGCACCTAAAGTCACAAATATCTGGGGTGTTTGGTACCGTGTATTTGTGCCTTTGGGTGCCCGTGCGGTCACACACGAGTTCTATGTCCACAAAGAACAGAGTTGCGGCCCTGACATTTGTGCCTCACAGAACTGCACGTAGTCACACTGGTTACACCCAAAAACATATAGAGTTTGTTTTTTTTTTTTTTCAAATGCTGAACTAAAACACACGGGTGTTTTTCTCATGCACAAATTTCTTCAAATACCTTACACCCAAAAACATATAGAGTTTGTTTGTTTTTTTTGTTCAAATGCTGAACTAAAACACACGGGTGTTTTGCTCATGCACAAAGTTCTTCAAATACCTCACGGAGAAAGGAGGAATCGAAAAGGTAATTTGAGACCACCTGTGGAGGTGGTCTCAAAAAGGGTCCTCCCACGGCCACGCAGGCTGCTGACAAAAGGGTCACCAAAAAAGTACATTTGGGTAGCAGGCCTCTCCAATGTGACCTGAAAACTGCCGCAAATTTGGGGATTTAAGGTCATCAGGTCCCCATGTGAGTATGCCCTGAGGTCACACGAATGCGGCTTTGCTGGATGCAACTCTGCACCTGCAGCCACACCTGGATGTATTTGACTGCAATTATGCTCAGAGTTCAGTTGGAAAAGTCCTAACGCCTGAAGCTCTGCACCCAAAAACATCGTATTGCAAGGAATATGAGCGAGAGCCAATAGACAGAAAACCAAGTTGCCAAATCACACAGATGTTTAGATAGTCGTGTACCGAGCAGAGAGCTCAAATGCACCAAGATTCCATCCAAATAAGAGCAAAGCAGTGAACTCGTGTGCGAATGTTATCGCCCTCAGGCCCCACCAACACAGTATCCAATGTAGCTCATCTCTGTCTGGCGCCCAGCGCCCAGCCTACTCTAGTGAGCCTATCTAGCCTATCTATATTCATGCAACAGGATCACTCCGACGTTGAAGACCAATGTACATGACGGCAACACCAATGCCGACCTCCCACATAGACCAGGTACGTTCTCTCTCCTCCCTCATCAGACCTTGACCACCCACTCATGCGCCACCTACCCGAAGACCACCGTTGCCCATCACCCGCATGCGCCGCTGCAGCCCGGCTATGGCCGCTGTGCGCCCACTGCCCTGCATACCTCTTACCTCATAGGGCCCACGTGTTCCAGCCAGCAGTGCGCATGCAGACACTTGCGCAGCAACGGAGCAGCGTGTCGCCTGCCTAGGCCAGAATACCCAGCCCCTGGCCAGCGGCCTTCCTATATGGAAATTGCGGGGCCTCTCTTTGGCTGCGAGGGCCTGGCTGAGGAAGCTCCCAGTAGCTTCCAGTCGGGCCCCAGTGTCTGCGTCCAGGCCCTATCCGACAGTTGGGGACCTGGGCGCTTTCTGGTTGGGCACGTCCAGGCAGCCTTTAGGCTCTAAGTGTTTGTCGTCTTCTCATTCGCTCGCTGGGCCTTTGTGACGACAATGCTGCATTCTGTTCGCCCGCGGCCACTTCGTGATGTGTTGGCCTCACACTGTGTGCCCAGGGCGCAACCACCCGGCCCTGGGCTCAACTGCTGGAGGCAGCTGCTGTTTCTGGAAAGAGCCCAGCGAGAGGCTCACGTTGCACTTCAACTAACTGTCGTGCTGCAACTGTCTGATGCCCGCTTTGGAACATGCTGGGGTAAGGGCCTCTCGTGAATATTCAGGCCCGCCTTCACTTAGGCCGGGCTTGATGCTTGCTGGGGGCCACAGCCCAGATCTTCATGTGCATGTTGGCTAGGGCCTCGTCAGGGCACATTCCTCACAGTGTGTACATTGTATACAAAATTACAAATAGAGTGTACGGGGTAGGTTGTGTATTCGAAAACATAATACGCACAGCATGCTATGAATTTCGAGGTACACCCTGAAGAGGGCCAGGGGTACTGTAGCGCCCCTGCAGCGGCTTCTGTGGCTGTGTCGGGCAGGCCTTGGTCGGGCAACCATTGTGTGGGGCTCAAGGTTGTGCAGCTTGTGCTTAAAGCCTTAAGCCACCAGTACCTCACCCAGCCATTTTCCTCCTACTTCACGCTTAACGGGCCGCTAATTTCGGGGGTTGGGCTACCAGAGCAAAATGGCTGGTGGCATCAGCCAAAAGAAGGCGTGCTCTGACAGGCTTCGGTAGTGTGACCCGCCTGACCTGGCCCTTTGTTCGTTTTTTTTTGGCGCACAGGGCGTTTCCAGGGTCGGAAAAATATCAGCCAAAGGTACTGGTGGTTTAAAAAGAAAACAATAACAAATCACGACTAATAGCAGCAGGTCCGAGAAAAGTTCTTTTCCGTTTGTGTGTGTGTGTGTGTGGTGGTGGGGGGGGGGAGAGGATTCTGAGAAAACAATGGGTTGTGCCGTGCGCAAGACCAGGCACGATTTCAAAGGCGCGAAGCACTGCATAAAGGTCAAAGCACCCTACGAGGACGTTGCATGTACACCGAATCAGGGTTCGGAAACTCCTACCAATCAATCGGAGTCTCCACCAAACCGATCTGAGCTGGAAAAATGTTGCAAAAAAAATTAAAAAAATTGAGAATGGAATTGTCCTTCAGGACATCCGTTAAAATTGGAATGATACAGGGAAGATTAGCATGGCCCCTGCGCAAGGATGGCACACACAAATCGAGAAAGAGTCCAAAGACTCCAAGCGAAAAGTAAAAAAAAAAGAACAAAAATAGAATCAGGATTCGGAAACTCCTACCAATCAATCGGAGTCTCCACCAACCCGATCTGAGCTGCAAAAATGTTGCGTGAAAAAAAAAGGAATATCGCAGATACTGGACACCCCAAGTTCGTTGTATGTACACTATTTCAAATACAACGCAGGGATATTGATTTCGAATGTACGTTCTATTTGGAGGGGGGGGACAGTGGTTTCTGAAAAGTTGTTTTTCAGGGGTAACATAGACCGACAACGTCTGTACATTGTTTTTTGGTTAAGTCGGTAGTGTGAGTATGCGGTGACAGAAGTTGCGTGTATTTTCAGAGGCACACTAATCGCTGCTTGGAAATTTTGATCACAGAACTGAGAGCATAACAGCACTAGGATTTTTTGCAGTGATTTCTGAATGTAAATGCAGTCAGATACAATCATGCCCGGCGGCAATTGCGGTCACATTCATCTAGGAAAGCCCTCATGTGAGTATGCTGTGCGAACTCTAGGCAAAACAAGTATCCTCGTGTGAACCCAAAGCGACAAAACTTCATAAAAGCTGCGTAGATTGTCAGAAATTCAGAATGTTATCGCAACTTATGGAGGATTTTTCAATTCAGGATTTTTCTCTTGTGGTTTTCTGTGCTGCTCCTGATGTTCGGACACTGTCCCTGAATGTGGCAGACAGTGAAGAGGAACAACAATCCAATTTGGGATCATCATTACGAGCACTACTTTACTGATGCTCCAAGGCCTGACGAGATGTTAAAGATTGAAGTCTTTAGCAAGAGCAAGGGGCAGCTTCTTGGTTCCAAGGTTTGTTCTCTCTCTCTCTCTCTCTCTCTCTCTCTCTCTCTCTCT